GAGCATGTGCCAGGAGTTTAATCCGAGTTAGGGTAGGAGTTAAAACGTGAAACGCAACCGCTGGGGGGGCTCTAATATCATAGTTCGGATCCAGTCTAACCCTTTTCGCCAAAGACCCTTTCACGTTAGTGGGTCCATCTTGTATAGTTGTAGTTGCTTCTTCTTGTTCTAATGGTGGTTCGTTCTTGAAGTTGAGAACTGCTGCTCCAGCTTCTTGTAGTTCATCGCTATGAGTTCGGTCCTCGTTCTGAGTACGTTTCTCCCTTGGACGTCTTCTATTTACACGGTATCTCTTTTTACCTGAAGGAGCAGAGGTAGAAGATGTGATCTTTGGGACGTGGTGACTAATCACATTAGTAAAAATAGACTGCTTAGGGAGTTTAGGGATTGATAGTGTCTTGGAGAAAAGTGTAGCTACCTGATTGTTAGAGTTACGCTGCTGCTTGTTAGTATCCTTGATCACTAGTTTATCATTCTTATTTCTACGAATATAAGGAAACGGATCTTTTCTAGGGTGATGGACAAAGATGTTGGATTTCGGATAACTATTTCTATTCTCATCATGCACTTCTTCAAACAAGCTAATCTGTGAGGCTGGAGGAGCACTATTCTGGCTTAAGACTGGTTGTGAGGGTTGTCCAGTACCCTGTTGGGAAAATGTTTGCGAAAACGACATAACTCTGCTGCTCACCTGTAGGTGGAGAGGGAGAGGAATGAGGAATGGTGGAGGAATGAGGAAAATCGAGTTGATGTGTAGTCGTGTATTGTATATAAGAGATTGAAGTAGAGTCTTACTTTTAATAGGATTATAAACAGAAGCAAAAAAACACAGTAGGGAAGAAACACCAGCACAGACAGAGCTTCAACGTCAGATATTCAACGACCAGAAAACCAGACACAACAAACCACACAAAAAAACTCCGGAGGCGCCGAGCTTCAGAATTGCAACAGACACATAAGGGCCATCCCTCGAGGAAGAAAAAACGTCTCTCAAACCCTTAGGTTAGAGGGTGCCGGAGTCACTTGTCCACGATCTTGTTTTCCAAGGACATCACGAACACTAACAAATAATTTCATTGGCCTTAGAATTCAAGAAACTCTCTCTCTTCATGAGAAAAAAGTCATTATGTATCTTGCAATGTCTCAAGCTGGTCTGCTGCAGGTGCTGGGAGGTCATTTTTTTCTTTTTCTTTTCCTAAGGTGGTTGATTGATTGAGGAAAGGCAAAGCAATGAAGAGACTGACATAGGGGCATAGTGGGGTATCTAGTGGTAAGTTAGGGAGTGACAAGAGGATGAAGTTAGTGCGAAGCGAGCCTTCCGTTGAGCTTCAGGAGTGTGCATCTCCTATATAAAGAAGATAGGTGAGGTCAGGGAGAAGCCAGTGAGCACCTCCTGCAGGCTTCCCTCCCGTCTCCAAAGTTCAGTGTCCACCTGAACTTCTGAAGGAGAACCCGACTCCCTGGACTAAGGAATCGCACACCGAAAAAAATATATATAAACAGATATCCTGAAGACACCAGACCGATTAGGACCGATGGATCGACACTGTCAGTAAGCAAGTTAACTCCACTAATCCAGTTGCTTTAGTTTTAAGGCACAGTAAACTCCTTAAATCCTAAAACGTAGAGTAGCTAGCTACTCACGCAACACTTTGCTTTGTACAAATACCCGCCGCAAAGTACCTTAACACAAAGACAGCACAGCACACATGTCGACTCTCTCATCTGCCGACTATTTCCGACTTGATCACTTACAACTTTAGGCTAGACAAATCCATGCTTAATGCATTAATCTAGTCATACAAGGTAAATAATACAAAAGGGGTTAATACTTCAAATTATTATAAGAGAGTAAGAACAGCTTTAAATAGTCTTGGTACTATAATTATTTCGGAAAACATCTTAATCAAGACTGAAAAAACAATGCGAGCTACTAATCTCAAAACAGTATAACAACACAAGAAGAAGTCCAGCTCCGCATTATCAGAGTCCTGAATATAATGATAAAACCTGTAAAATGACTGAAACTTTGAAATTCATCAACTAAAACTCTCGTCCGTTTTCACTCATCAGCTTTCGGAAGCTTGTTCTGCTCTCCGGCGTTCCGAGTGTGCGCTTTGAGGCGGTCGTCACGAAACGCATCGGCACTCCTTACGACGTTCTCGTTCTTGACGAACGACAGGTGCCTCATCTAGTCTCCCTCGCTCATTTCGTCGTTTGTCGCTGTTTGGGTTACCAGAAATTGACTTGTTTTCTGGTACCGAAAGAACACGTTGCGCCACATTCTTACCCGCCAACGCTATACCCACCAACAGCGCATCTTGCTCCCAGCACCATGGTGGTTAAATCATCGTCATTTGATACAAGAAGAGCAAGTAGTAGCACGTTTGCAGGATTAGGAGGAACATCGAGGATAGGTGGAGGTGACAAAACCGAGAACATTACTTACGCGAACAGCTCAGAGGACGACGGCGCGACGCTGACAAAATCGCAGCACCAAATCTGCGAGAATATGCTAGTGGTATTACCGCAACTAGTCGAGGCATTTGGCCCAGGCTTTAAGTTTGATGTGTACTGGAACAACCTGTGCCGCGTTCTGCTCCGCGATTCGGCCAGTAATGCGTTCAATCTGTACTTCGCCTACGAGCAGCTTACCGGTTAGAAAAAAATACACTGGATCCGCTTTTGATATCAAACATGTTCAGACATGCGTAGAGCCGAACTTTTTCTTCACCTTGCTAGAAGTAGAAGTAGTGTGAAAGTACAACTATAGCACCAATAATGCAAATGCAGCCACTTGTAATGATTAGTTACATAGGATTAGAACCAGACCACGGAGAAAGAAAACATGCCTTCATCATGGCTTTTTAGTTCCCTGTACTTTAGGAGCAGGACGATTCTAAACATGGAACTTGACGCGCGTACAACTTCAACACTAGTCTCATGCACATCAGCAATTTTGACTTCTATACATATTTAATATCGTAATGCTCGATAACTCATGGTGGCCCGGTGAAGACTGCTTTTGAAAAGTAAGCTTCACCCGTCTGTAGGGGCCCTCGTAAAGAAGTGCTATTTCGATAAGGTTAGCGATAACTTGCGAGTATAAAACTTAACGATCATCGGGGTCTCTACTCATTCGATTTTCTTGTGCACTCATGTAAAGAAAAAAGGATATCTAGCGATAGCTGACATCAACAAGAGGAGGAGTTCGTACTCGGAATCATGCCGCTCCGGGTGGCCTCGATGCGTGATCTAGTACTTACTAATGTTTTTTTCGTAGAAGATTTGCAATTTGTGAGATTATAGCTTTGCTCGATGTGATGTCGACCCCGATAGTGCGCTCTCACGACGCTACCTTGTGCCTAAGAAATATCTGAGATATTGATCTTGTTGATGCAAGTCTGTGTGTTTGGAAAAATTCAAAGGACTTGTGCGACCATCTCGATCACTGATTATTTAGCAACATTTTTGATGTTGTTATTTCTATTTTACTTCACGGTGCAGATGCAGAACGAGAAGAAGATGAACGCCTGTAAGAATCAAGACTTGCATGGACGCTGCATGTTATTCCTTCCATGCCCCGAACGATCGGGAAACGAGACCATCTTCTATTTTCCAGACAAGATGCCACCTATCATAGTCGGCATTTGATTTCATGCTGACATGATTGCAGCTTGTTTTTGCTCAGATTTTGGTAAGAACTCGAAGATTCACCGCACTAAGATCTTCTTAGACTACACATCAGTTCATTATCTGATTTTTTTGTTACGATGAAATTTTTTGAATAGCGAACTAACACTACACAATTTACACATCTTCGTTCATGCTCATGGCACTGACAGGAGCAGCAGCAGCTGCACAAAATGGCTGCTCCAGTGTAAAACAGGCGGCTACGCTGGTGTTCATAATTAATTAATTTCTCCAAGAAACCAGTGGATATTACTTACAGGTCGGTTGAAGATCTTGCACTTGCTGAGGCACAACAAGAAGAATTCCCCTAGTCTGAGAATTCTCCTGACAAGATGTGTTATCTCCCGCTTATCAGTCTAGAGGCTAACAAAGCGGTTTGATCAATATTTCATTTTCCATGCAATTGCTAAGTAATTGCGAAATCTTTGAAATTTGTTTGACGAAATCTATGAAATTTTTATAAATATGATAAAATTTGTATTTGGCTCCACCTTGGGAGATCGTCCCGCATAATCAGCGGTTCTCGTACGTGTCACCGAGCTACAAATAATGGTTCCGGCCAGGCAGAATCGACGACCTGTTCTTGTCTGGACTATCGTGGCGCGTATGTTGTTTTTCTCGCTAACTAAATTTCCGGCATGCTACGCAGTCTTATGCGAAAATCTTTTTGACGCAATGACAGAGACGGAGACAAGCGAGAACGGGCGCCAAATGGAGCAAAGATATAGAGAGAATTCAAAAAGACCGTGAAGGAATCGGTCCGTTGAGGACGATGGTGTTAGCCAAGCCAGAAAAAGGTCAAACGAACAATACATAGAGCAAATCAAAGTGGACACAAAAAAACCATTGTTCCTGGCCAAGAAATCCAAAGATGAGATTTTGTACCGACAACCTCATCTACTAAATAGTTTTAGAGTCTCGCTTTCTGATTGCCGAAAAATCGCTGGATAATAAATTACCGAGTCAACTGCAAGCTAAAGTTGTTGTACTGAGTCGTGAAGATAGCAGAGTAGAATTGATAGACGAAGGGGGAGTTTGTTGGATATTAATAGTTTTTTTTCATGCACGTTCAGGAGTAGGAGTGAAGTAGAGTCGTCTGTGAGCATTAAGAAAGATGATGGCAGAGTACCACCTTCTATTTCGCTTCCGGCGGAGCGGACTCGTTTCATCCTTTTCGCTCTTCTAGTCGAAAGGGAGGTAGATCTCAGATCAGCAACATATCAATCACAATCTCCTAAGCAACAACGACTGTTCCAAGAACACCTCCGTCGTCTGGAGCCATGGTTGATTTTTGGGAGTCTGAATATTTTGAAGCGGCAGTGTGGGGAGTCCTCGTTGTTATTAGCGTGATAATCACGTACGTTTGCGGGGGATTCGATCAAATCAAGGTAATAAGGATTTTTTTGACCGATAAGAATAGAATGCTTCATAGAGCATTCGCCGGTGAAGCAATGAAAAACCTGCATTTCCAGAGTTCTTCCTACTATGATCGAAAAGGAAGAGTTTTTCATTTTCTGTACTTCTATTACAACAAAAATATACACCAAAGACGTCGAGTTGGCAACATTTCCTTCATCATCTTCATCTACTGCAACTGAGTACTTCTGCTTCTGCCACGACGACCACGAATTTTTATTCCTCACGACATTACAGGTGAAAGTGCAGGAGTTGCGCCGGATTGATAAAAACCGCTCAGACTGTGCAATTTGTTGTTGCGATTTGGAGGTTGGGGTAAAGGTAGCCAAAACTCCTTGTGGTCATGTCTTCCACTATCGTTGTTTGCGTGAGTGGTCCTTCCGACAGAATACTTGTCCTGTCTGCCGCGCAGATCTTGGCCCGGATGGTGTTTTAGAGGATATTCCGGCAAGCAGTCTCCGCGATGCATTTCCCTCACAAACACAAGAACAAGTCTAAAAATCGCAGTGTAAATGAAGGAGCAGGAGCAGGGCGGCCACGATGCCGAACTGCGTAAAAAAGCTACAGATTTGCATGCTGTCGTTGTAGAAGAAAGAAGCTCTACGCATGTCCAAACTGTTTAGTTGAGTTAAAATCGTTGATCCGCCAGTTAATTTTTGCAAAAACATATGTAGATGAAGATGTACTTACATCAAGTATCACGATCTTCTACAAGTAAGTAACAATTTTGCTCATTAGAGGAATGAACAGCCAAGTTGGTGCATGATCTGAATGTAAAGCGGAGGAGAAACATGACATTGGCAGAGAGGACAGCTTAAGGATTCGCTTTTTGGCGTTCTAGACACGGAGGACGAGGAGTAGCAGGCTTCAATCGTGGAAAGAACAAATGCTTCTGCGTGTGTGGTGTGCGTGCAACGACTTGCGTCTAGAGATGTACAACAGGTGATCGTAGTGTTTCTGTGTGAACAAGAGTACTTAAAAATAAACAAAACACGACTGATTTTAGCTTTTGTTGCAACTAGAACTACAGTGTTAGAAAATGTCTGGTCGTACTAAAGCTCGTTGTACCTTATCTTTCCACATGCACATTGATATGCATATGGCATACGAAAAATATCAATCCCATCGTGTTCTCTAACGAAGAAACGGCAATTCTCGAGAGTAAATGGCAAAGCAAGGCAAAAACAATGTAAGAATTCTTGACTAGTAATCTGACCATCCAAAACTCGAGCGACCTATGACCGACATGATATGTTCTTGAGGGAGTGAGTGAGGATGTCTGTTGCAATACTGCGTCATCTGTCTATGCGAGCTTCATATTGCGGTCAGCGTAAATTGTTTAAATAAACTAGTAGTGAGGCGTTTTCGTTTTGCACGGTGCTGCAGGAGAGTAGCCTGCGCCGTTACAATTTTATTTCTCATGAAAGTAAGAATGAAATCGATAACAAGGTATCTTTGTTCCTTAACCCATGCCCTCTGCTTTGCTTCAGTGTTCGTTGTTCTCTGTTAAGCCTTGTCGCCTTCCTCACGCTCTGTCTTGAGAAATAATTCATATGAACAAATGAGGGTCCTTACGAGCCAATATGACTTCTGTTGAATCGACTCGGTTGTGCGCTGAGTGGGTTAGTATGAGTTCGTGATGTGGCTTTTAGTTCGTGACTTGATGAGTGGTTCTCATCGATGTTAGAGAGTTAAGTCGCTTTTTCCGTCTGTTGAGAGACTTCCGTTCGATTTCGGCTGTTGCAGTTGGTCACTTACTTTTTGTTTATCTGTCGTTCGCTTCTGTTTTTGAATGTCCTCTTGTTTTCGAGTACGGGAGTGAGGCACGAGGGTGGAGAGTTGGTCTTGTTCATCGCCTCTTTCTGTTTCTTTCGCCTCTGTCTTTTAAGTAGCTAGTTTGAGCCTTATGGCCTTTTGAATAAGGCCACGCATGGTTCATGGGGGATGGATGCGATTGGCTCTAGATCCTGGCATGGTGAACCGGTTCCCTTGGACGTGTCAGGAACGGTGGTCTAGAGTCAGTGCGAGCACCCACCTCCCCTTGCACTTCCACCAGAGTGGCTGGGGGGTGGGACGCCAAGGGCTGAAGCGTCAGCTCTGGGCTTTTATCTAATTTATAGGTTAGAGTCTCTTTAGTTTAATAATATTAGCTTCTGCGCGTTCGTCCTTGCTTTCTTACGAGCGTTCAGTGTGAGAGACGGGTCTATGTTCTGATGCCTCTTGCTCTTCATTCTCCTCGTCAAGGTCAAATATCATATCTACTAAGGACATCCAGGACAACGATCTTCAAACACATTCGCACTTATTTGAGGACGATGAGCGTACTTCTAGCCAATTGTCAGTGTTTCCAAAAATCGAGTGCGATTTATCAAACCGCAGCATTGTGGTTTGTTGTGTCTGTCATCTCCTAACTTAATCTACGAGGTCTGTGGTATATCCAAAACGCTCAGTAAATGATAGCTGATTTTTCCGAGATAGTCTTTGTAATTGGTGTTGTTGTATGTACCACGTATGAGCCACATGGTTTTCGATGGACATCCCACCAGCGACGTAAAAGGCCCTCCCAATCCATCTTCCCAAATAGGCTTCGTACACATGCTTGTCTTGCTATATTTAGGATATCAATTTATCATGAAAAAACAGAAAGGAGCCTCGACCTCACTTCATCCTCACTCCATGATTTTTAGAAAAACATGACAAGACAAAGACTGAATAGATAATGAGTGCCATTTCTGGTTTTGTCTCTGCTCTGATGATGCCTTGCTAGCGGCATAAACAATTCGTAGTTTGTTATGACGTAGCTGCATACCATATGATTGATAAAAACGCGGCCGGTAACTGATGGTGATGATTAGACGTCTTCGTCCTTCTTCTTGCAACATGATTCCCCTTCGACATTCGTTCCAGCGCTATTAATTTACCGATATTAACACAGGTCGTAGGTCCAATCCGAATCGACAACGTCATCAATTAACCGATATCAACGCAGCACTTACATTGTCATTCGTGTAAACATAAACTCAGAGGACTACAATCGTTTTCGTTCTCGTTCTTCTTCATCTGCTTCTGCATCGTCAATATTATAGAAGATGATTCAGGATTTGCAGCGTTTGGAGCTGGACCCGCACGCGGGACTCCGCAAAAAGCTGCATCACGCAGAGCAGGCCGATGAAAAGAAGCAAGTGGTGCATTATCGTTTTTCTCTGGATGGCAAGGTTTCTCGAGGTGGTGTCTCTTCGGGATCCGGAGACAACAAAGTAGGATCGCCAGATCTCTTTCTGATTCTAAACCTGAGCGGGTCGGTCACGGACTACCGAGGGCACTACTTGGTCACGAGCACGAACGCTTGTCTGCGTGGCATTGACCAAGACCGCGTGTGGCAAGAGGGCGGGGAAGGTTTCACGTCTGGTTTCTCGCACGGCGGCGCCGACGCAGCGCTCCACAAAGCGTGTGGGCCATCGCTTGCAGAAGCCTCGCGTGTGCGGCTTCGGGAGAAAAGAAGACGCATGCTGCTAAGAAGTGAACCTTCGTCGCCCAAAAATAATAGGGTCTCAGCGTCTAATCAGAACAATTACGGAGGGCGCGGAGATGGGGGAAGTTCTCCAAATGATCCATACAAGAATGTAGACGATGATGTTGTTGATGTGGGAGGCAAGAATTACGGCGCGCCGCCAACTCTGCCTGGAAAGCAGAACTCTATCAGTGCAAAAGGTGTCGCTCTGCTAGGGAGCGTCGCCAGAAAAATGTCTGCGTCCAGCATCATTTCCGCTGTTTCTGGCAGTTCGGAAGCGAACCCGCTGAAAACGACATCGCAGCCGGATCAGGCCGAGCTTGCATCCTGGAAATCTAAGTGTGATCAGTGGTATGCCGATCAGCTGTGCGGAGGCAAAAGCACACTAACCCAAGGCGTCCCGTTGTCATTTCCAGACAGGACAAAGACGTCCGTCGTCACTCCTGGAGCAGACGAAAATATGGTGGAGCAGGACCCAAATGCGGAGCAAGCGAGTGAGCTTTACTCAGAGTACAGCGCCTTGCCCAGTGACCGCGGCCAAGACGAGAACGACCGAGGGGGGAGGATGAAAGGACATAGCTACCACAAGAAGGAAGGCGTCCGAGCGGATTCCGCATCCGTGAGACGTGCGATGAACATGGACGTGAGGTTCCGAGACAAAAATGGGAACATGGTCGACCGCAAAAACCGCCTGACCTACGATAAGAGCACGAATTCTAACGAAGGGCAGTTCAAAGTTGGCACAATGCTGGGTCTAGACGACTCTCATCCAGTCGGGGCCAAAGAAATGCTGCACACCCGCACTGCCTCCAGAGACCAATCATCCAATGCTGGATCCGACATCCAAAATTCTCCCAGAGGCGGCCCGGTCCTGCTCTCTCCCCGTGATCCCACAGCTAGCGCGTTATCTGCTCCAGGAGGCGCGGGGGGAAAGCGGCTGCACCCTGGGGCCAGCCGGTCCAACTCAAAACTGGCAGTAGGCCGATCGAATTCGAAACAACTGTTGAGCCAGCGATCCAACTCCAAAAATCTTTCGGTCGAGGACCGGTCCAATTCCAAACGCCTTTTAACAGTAAGTAGCCAATCGAATTCCAAGCTAAGCGTTGCTGATGGACCTGGAGGTGAAAGCTCCGGAATCAAAATGTCACCTAGAGGAATGTCCGCAAATACTCATTCTCCCAATGCCTCCCCAAGAGTGCAGTTAAGCTCCTCACGAGGCTCATACCGATCACCGAGAGAAGGCTCCCACGCAGCGGCTGCACCATCGAATTCGTTTTTCCAGCAGCAGGCCATTGGTGGTTCGCATCGTGATCAAGAGCGCTTTGGGCGCGCCTCAGCCGCCAGCGCGTGGGAGCTCGAAGTGGACGGCTGTGGCATTCGGCGGTCCACCAGAGAGGAAATATCGCGTGAAGCCGAGAAATTGGGGTACACCGTTTCGGACGACGCCAGGCGACTGCGTCCGGGTGAAATCCTTTCTTTGCCGGCGCCAGCGCCGCTGACGTGCAAGTTTTTGCTGGTGACGCACTTGCCCCGCTTCTGTTTGGCAGAGAGCGATATGGCGAGGCACCGGAAGGGGAAAACACTAGGATCTAGCGAGATCCACGATCGGGGAATTCTGCAGCAGTCGATGAACCACGCGGTGTCGTTAGCTGCCGCCAAAAATGCAGTGCGGTTGTTTTGGAGGAACACTGTTGCACATGCGCTTTTCGGCGATCCCAGCAATATGTCACGGCAAGACCCTATCGACCAAGCAGAGGCACTGATGCGAATGCGCCGCCGACCGCACCTGCGTTTAGGCTATGCACCCGCTGGTTGCGGCGCGCGCCGCTACGACTCTGACGTCGCGGCTTTGCAGGCGTACGCGGGCCTTTGGGACGTTGTCCAGTCTCTGGCATTGCACCATCAGCGAGCGCAAAATAGTAGTACCGCAGCCGCATCGAGGGCGTCGAGCAAGATGAGGGGTCGCGATGGAAATCCTGACCCGACTGCTGTCGTGAATGGAACGAAGCTCATCACCATCGAAATCCGATTCAACGGAAACAAGGGCATGTACCTTGTCTGGAAGGGAATGGCCGAAACCGCTTTGCTGCGAGAATCGAAAGCCTCCTACGTCGAATGCAAGAAATCCGCAGAAATATTCGGTCAAACAGGCAGTGGTCGGGGTTGCTGTCCTGGCTTCCACAAAATGGTAGATGTGGAAAGCGACTTGGACGATGATTGATATCATCTATAACAGAGCAGTTTATAGCACGCATGGTGCATGGAGTAGCATGGCGTGCATGGAGCGCAGACCTCTAAGGGACGCAAGCAGCGCGCCCTTTAGCTCCCTGCGATCCATGCACTCCATGCCGTGCGAGCTGGCAAACCTTATAAATTACTCTGCTATAACTATAGCTATACTAGAGCCGCTAGTAGTGGTGGACGGAGAACGATACCATACTTCTAGAGTCCGCTACTACAAGTAGTGGCCGGATGAGTCCGTATCTTTTTGTTTGTGCCTGAGCATCAAATAGAAGAATTTTCTTGATGATATGCCAATGACTACTTGTCGTGCGAATGATTCTCGAATAAGCAATGCGGTGTTGCCGTCCCGTCTTGCATCTTCTACTCGGGACCATTTTTTTGAGACCACTACCTAGCTGTCAACAGTTAGACTGGGTGGAGTGATTGCATTTCACCTGAGATATAATTCCCGTATTCATCCTCCTACGACCCGAAGCGCTACTATGATCGAAATGTTAAACTTCTGCAGAAAATAGAACATGGTCGCTGCTCTAGCGTTATATTTTGGCTGCGAGTGCGACCAGCATCGTGCTGTTGTACTTTGTTCTGACAACTATAGATCTTCTACTTGCTCTTCTTTGTCGTTTTATAATGAAAGGATGTTCGACTCTGACGCAGAGGAAGATGTCATTGTCAAGGGCGAACGAACCGCCGTATCAACTCCGTAATAATATCCGTCCCAATGCTTATTTCGTGTGAAGAGCATCACGGGCAGGAGCAGTTGGCAATTTGATTCTTATTTGCATTCATTGTGTTCATATAATGGCGAGGCCAGCGCCTTGCCCACAGCATGTTAAGGTCCTCTTAAATTTGATCGGGGGTGTGAGGTGCAACCAACTACGATAACTATGCGACAGATGAAAGGCCGCTCGCTCACTGCGTAGTGAATCCATGTTCATCGGTTGAGGGAGGAGAAGATTCAAAACGTGTGTGCGTGGAGCTCAGCAGGCATAATTTGTGGCAGAAGGAGGTGCAGCTGAAAAATCTGTCAATCATTCGTGCGGAACGAAGCAAGAATTGGCCACAAGATGTCCTTGTCGGTGGTACTGCAATTTCGGAATTAATTGGCTTATACTGCAGTAAAATTGCTCTTCATCGGTTTTGATACCAAATGGACTAGCGGCCTCTGGCTGTGATCGACATGCAAGATGCTTGCTCAAAGAGTAAGTGAGCACGTGATGAGTCACACACTACTCTTTCTGTTTCCTCACTTCCCCGTCCAGTCCCAACCCCATGGCAATGGGAGACCGATGCTAATATTTAGACTCTTTCCCTAGCTGCACCAACAGTCTGCGTCTCTATGCATAGGAAAGAGCATACATTCATAACTTAACTGGACGAATTAGGATACACATTATGGTCGTGATTTCTGACCTTTTCGATGCAGAGCTGTGGAGATCGACATGGTGTACTATCTAACGAAGTAATTCATTGTAGCGGTCTTTTCGCGAGTTTTCTCACGTAGTATTTGGATTTGCCGGCTCTTCTATCGCGTCCCGGTGTGATACGTGGGTTACTTCTTGCGTGTACCTCATGATTGATTTCGATGTAGCGGTCAGCATAAGTACAACTTTTCTCGACTAATTTTGTAACTGTATGCAGTTGTACAACAGCAGGTATATTCAAGTAGAAGGACCAGCTTTTCATGCCGCCAGTGGACTTCCTCGAAGACCACTACAGGTCATATTTTGTACACTCACTCAGCATACAACATCACCTGCACCTTCATACCGAAAATATGAATGATGCGATAGGTGAAAGGTATGTAAGCACCGCGATACTTGCGCGATGATATCCTTGAAAGAGTAGACTACAAGGAATTCTCCCACAAGAGCACTGTATTTTATTTTGCGACAGCGAAATCGTAATCGAGAAGTGGTATGTACTAGTTCACTTACCTCCTTCAAGTAGGTGTAAGTACTTACATTTCTTCGAAGGAGCGGCCTGCCCCTGGTGCATCCGGACGACTGCAAGTTCTTCGGAACTCTCATCAAGTTCCTATTTGGATTTTTGCTCAGTCCTCATCTACGCGCTGAACTACTGTTACTGCTACCACATCCGCCGTGGGAACTGTAAGAAGGAGGTAGTTTTATCGAAGTCGTCCGAACCAGCCTGGCGGCAGCACCAGTTCCTTGACTAATTCTGCATATCGCGACCTCGCCACATCCGCCAAGATGGCAACAGTAGGTGGCACAGCTCCTGTCGTCAGACCTGCGACGACTGGAGCCCCAGCTGCCTTAGTGGCAAAGCGCAAGATGAAAACAACACTAGTGCTACCCGCTGACGACCTTGAATTGCAGGACTGGAGTAATTCTGTAGCGCGTCTCGCTGGTGAAACTGAAGCGCATTTCGTTGCTGGTATTTTTCTACTGCTCACTTCAGCTGCTAAGTCGTTTGGTTGTTTACCCCTTCTTTCAGGCTGTTCGTTGGTTATAATAGAATAGTTTATAGACGGTGGGAAGGTGGGCACGGTGGGCGACGCTGGGCCGCTGGGCGGCCACGCTTGGCACGGTGGGCGGACCCTTGGCACACATGAGGGGCACGGTGGGCGCACGCTGGGCGCGTATAGCGTTGGCCCGCTGCTTCTGCCAATGTACAGGGCCGCAGTCGAGGGCAGCGCGGCGCTGTGCTTCTTCGCGGAGCGGCCACGTTCTCGCTGCTTGCGGTGCTTCGCTGCTGTCTGCAGTGCCGCCTGGGTGTGTAGAGAAGAGTGCGGCGCAGCGCTGCAATGGGCCTCAGTGCTCTGCTGCAATGCGCGGCCAGTGCTGCTGAGGGATATTCCCAGGCGGGCCAGTAGGTTGGCGCCCCGATTCGTATGCAGCTTGCTGCGGATCCAGGGCGCATGCGCTTACTATGCAGGGGGGCTTCAGAAATAGGCGCCCGAAGGGCGCCCCGATTTTTGGCACAAAGTCTCACGGTGGGCGCGCGGTGGGCGACATCTTTGGCAGATAGCCCACTTTTGGGCCGCCCAGCGGCCCAGCGTGGCAAGCGTGCCCACCGATCCAATTCTGGAGAGGCTATAAACTTTCCTATTATAATAATGATCAGACATCATCAGTGGAATCAGGAATAATTGTTCAATGAGAAGGAAGAGCAAGACGGCTCTTCTACAAAGTACTTCTATGATGTTTACAAGGAAGATCACGATGGAGAAAATTTGATAAAAACTTTAGGTTGGAACAGCAACAAGAACAAGAACATGAATTTGAATATAAGTATATTAAAATTATAGACTTTCTGAAACTAAATTTGATGCATGTTATTTGAATGATGTTGGGCTTGCGACAGAGCATGTCAAGTTCCCTTGTTTGCTTCCAAAAAAGTACCTTGTTTTTGTTCAGGATTTGTAGTGGGGAGTTGTCCATCATCTAAACCCACGTAACCGATGCCCTAATAACTACTCCATCTATTTCTAATTGCGTACCTGAATTGGATACAGCACGCATTATCGCTAGTTCTTGTCCTGCGGGAATCGTGATTGTCTTAAATTGCTATCGTTCAGGTATTCCCGGAGTGACGCGGTTTAAAGACGCACCAGTTGACGTCGGTATGAAATTGAAGGCCCGCGATGAGCTCATTACGATCATAGAGAAAATCCTTCACCCGGACGCGCGTGATGGCAAAGGCCGGTCACGTTTTGTCCGAAAAGGCCTCATCAAACTGGCCAGACAGAAGATGCGAATGATGGGCAAGATGGCAAAGATCACCAACATATTTGCTGGTGACAAATTCAAGGTGCCAATGATGGGACTGACGCCCACTGCCAAAGCACCCGCAGCAGGGGAGTCGCCGGGAACCGGTCCGTTTTTTTAAACTTCTGAGACAGAGACTAGTAATACTAGCCTCCACAAGCTTCGCCTGGCTTCAAGTTAGTTAAGCACTTTTCTGCAGCCTACCACGGGCTACAGCCGCTAGAGTAGAGACAGCCCGCGGGTGAGCTGTTGCACCCTACGAATTAACTACGACAAGAGCCGTGCGCCGACGGTGGCCGACTTAGATCGATGCGTCGACTCACGTGCAGGGCATTGCGCTGCCTTCGGTTTTTTTATGAGATTGCCGGGAGGGTCCTGCAAATTCTTAAGAATTTGCAAGACCCCCACGGCAGTCCAACGAAAAAACCAGAAGAGGGCCACCAGACACGCGCAAGAATCCGCAAGCCCCAACGCACGCAAACGCCTCGCGGTGGCGCCAGGCAAGGACGGGCGGCGGCTTTAGCGGGCCAAACAAGACAAAGCATAAGCAACGCAGGGCCGCGCTGCTCGGGTCTCTCTGTCTCTACGCGCTTACACCTGGCGGGGCTTCTTTGTTTCGTCAGATGTCTCTCGTCAGAAACAGACGGGCGCACTTCGCGGGGGCGTGGGGCGTCGCGCTTCGGGTTGTGGCTGAAGCCTCTTGACTGGCTGACGTCTTTCGCCAGGATGGAGACCGAGGCCTTCCATCAGACTGAGACCCACGCGCTGCGCCAGGCTGGCGGCCTTCGTCAGACGACAGGCCGGCGCCCTTCGGCGGACGTCGTGGGCCAGGCTGAGGCCCTTCGTCAGGGTCAGGCGACGTCTCTCGTCAGGCTGACGCCTTTCGTCAGACTGAAGCGCTTCGCCTGGCCGACATTCCTCGCTGGGCCAAGACTCACGCCTTTGGTCAGGTTGATGGCTTGCTTCAGCATGGCGCCGTTGGTTCGTCAGGCTGATGCACTGACCAGCCAGGTGACGCCCCTCGCCAGACCGGCGCACTGCTTCGCCAGGCGTCTGCCTTGCGTCGGAAGCGGAACAGGCTGCGCGGGGCCTTTCTTCGGGCTGCGGATGTCTTTCCTTCGTGAGATTGATTCTGCCCCTTCGTCGGACTGACGTTTTTCGCCAGACTGACCGCGTTCGTCGGACTGACGTCCTTCGTCGAAGGTCTTCGCTATCCTCGTCGAGGTAGGGCTTCTCGCCACAGGTCGGGCGGCAGTTTTTCTGGCCGAGGTCGTTCGTCAGATGTCTGCCGTCGCGGATCTCTTGTCTTGTCGGAGGTCTTTGGTCCACGGGGCGTTTCTGGTCGTCCAAAGGTCGCCTGTGGTCCAAGGGTCGCCTGTGGTCCAAAGGTCGTCTTACTTTGGTCCAAAGGTCGCCTTATTTTGGTCCAGCGGTCGCGTTAATTGGTCCAGCGGTCGGCTTACTTTGGTCCAGAGGTCGCCATAAAAGGTCGCTTGTGGTCTGCAGGTCGTCTGTGGTCCAGAGGTTGCCTCTGGTCTGAGGGTCGTCTTTGGTCCAAAGGTCGGCTTTGGTCCAGAGGTCTGCCGTGGTCCAAAGGTCGTCTTTGGTCCAAAGGTCGCCCTTGGTCCACAGGTCGCGTCTGGTCCAAAAAAACGCCTCTGGTCCACAGATCGCCTTTGGCCCACAGGTCGTCCGTGGTCCAAAGATCGTCTCTGGTCCAAGGATCGCCTTCGGTCCAAAGATCGTCTTACTTTGGTCCAAAGGTCGCCTTATTTTGGTCCAGAGGTCGCCTCACTTTGGTCCAGAGGTCGCATTACTTTGGTCCAGAGGTCGCCTTACTTTGGTCCAGAGGTCGCCTTACTTTGGTCCAAAGGTCGTCTTACTTTGGTCCAAAGGCCGCCGCACTTTGGTCCAAAGGTCGCCTTACTTTGGTCCAGCGGTCGTCTGGTGTGGTCCAAAGGTCGCCCGTGGTCCAAAGGTCGCCGGTGGATGTGGTCCAAAGGTTAAGGTCGCCTGTGGTCCAAAGGTCGCCGGGCC